TGTCCCCGTCCCAGGCCAGCGCAAGCTGTGGGTGCCCGGGGCCTCGCTGCAGCCAGCATCGTCCCAGGCAGCGTGGGGTGCTTGCGGGGTCCCCGTCCCCGGCGAGGCCTCGAGCTGCCCTGCACAGGGTGTCGGACCAGGGGGCATGTGCCATGCCTGGCTAGCGAGGCAGGGAGCGTGGGACAGTCAGCTGCCCGTCCATCGCATGCAAACTGCCCTCCACCCCAGCGTGCTCGCCCGGCTTTGGCCACCGAGGGTGGGAGGACAGTGGCAGCACCCTCGGCTTTTGAGAAATCCAGGCTTTTCGCTGTGTCCCACCGTTTCTAGCTGGGATGCGAGGTAAATGCAAATCCTTGCTTTTTCCTTTCCCTCTTCAGGGCTGGGACCTGCTGCCGTGTGTCGGGTGCGGAGCCCCTGCTCTCCTACAAAATCTTGTCTCCCCAGGGGACCGCTCCCACCCAGCTTCCGTCACTTTGACCTTAGCCAGTGCCAGGCTGGCCGGGGTGGTTCGCTGCTTGGCACCCACACCCGGTGCTGGGAGTGGTGCCGGGGTTTGTGGCTTATCTCCGGTCTCACCTTCACTGGGAGGCTGAGCGTCGTCCCCCCTGCGCCCCTGCAGCCCTGCCCTCCCAGCACTGCAGGTTTGCAGGGAGCTGCAGAGTTCGTCCCCGCTGCTTGGAGGCAGCCGAAGGAGGCTGAATACAAGGCAGCAAAGCCTTCAGGGACGTGTTTTGTCTGCAGCAAGCAGAGGCTCCTCTCCGAGAGTGAGCCCTATCGCTCCCCAGGGCCATGGGCACCTCAGCAGGGCTGTGGTTTGTTGCCTGCTGCTGAAAGCCAGGCCCTTCTTAAATATGAGAGCAGCAGGTCCTGGGCTGCTCCGTGTCTGGAGGTTAGATCCTGTGGTGCAATTTCAGGCTTAGAAATAACCACCTGGCTTCTAGTTTGGTCCCAAACTTATCTCTGTATTTAGGGAAGAGGCTGGTGGCCTCCTTGGCGATCTTGGGGGAGAGCAGAGACCTCTCCCTGGTGGAGCTTCACCCACATGATGGGCTCCTCGGGGCTGGTGGTGACCGATTTAGCAAGTCACACCGTGTCACCTGGATCCCTGCAGCTGTGTGTGGGCTTAGCTAGCGGCAAATCCCCTCTTAGCCTCCGTGGGTAGGTGATGGTTGGTACAGGGTAAGGTTATTGCTGTGTGTGGGGTGGCACCAAGCCCTCTGCTGTGCCTGGCTGGGGCTGACGCTCAGGATCCCCTTGGTGTGGGTCTGGACACTCCAGATTAAACTGAGGAGCTGATGGATCTTAAAGGGTCGCTACCATTTGCTGTGGCTCGTGGAAAAATATTTGGGGGGCTTGTTCTTGTCTCTGCCCCATCTCCTTCCCCCAGTGCCTCACAAGAGCCGTGGCAGCACCATGAACTCCCAGCCGCTCGGGCACAGGGGTCCAGGCAGTAGCTAAACCATCACCTTGCTCGTACCTAAACCCTCGGGGTTTGATGGGTATCCTCACGCATTTGGGAATCTAAGAGCCTCTTTGTTGCCTTTCTAGAACTCCCAGAGAACTGGACAGATACCCGTGAGACGTTGCTGGAGGGGATGCTCTTCAGCCTCAAGTACATGGGCATGACGCTGGTGGAGCAGCCCAAGGGAGAGGAGCTCTCTGCGGCTGCCGTCAAAAGGATCGTCGCTACCGTGAGTGTCCGTGCGGGAGCAGAGCCCCGTCTCCTGCTGCTCAAACAAGATTGTCGCTGGGGAATTTTGAAAACTGTGGGTCTGGAGGCAGTGCTGTCTGTCTGCAGGCTGGGGGGTGTCAGGATTGCAGGTCCAGCCCTTCCAGGGGTCAGCAGGCGCCTGGCGGTATAGGTAGAAATGCAGACAGTGGTACTGGCAAGCCCTCAGGACCAGCCCCAGCCCACGGATGGGGCAGGCTGCGGAGAGCTGGCGTTATGTGTCTGAGCTCTGGCTCCCCTTGATAAGCTTTGGGTGACCCTGGGTGTGGAAGAAGCCTCTGACCTGGTGAAATCAGCCTTCCCCGGGGTCATCTCTCCTCTCGCAAGGCAGGGACAGCATTCTGAGTGTGGCCAGCATGTGACCAAGAGCTGGCATGCAGTTCTGGGTTTTCCTTCCCAGGATTTGGAGAGTTAAGAGGAGAAGGGAGCAGGACAGCTTGCTCTGAATTCCCAGCCAATACAGCCGCCGTCCCACTGTAACCTCTGATGCAAGAGGGACTGATTTTCAGCCATCCTCTAGCACCGAGCTTCCCTGGAGCCCCTGCTCACCGGGCTCCAAGTAAAATTAATGCTTCTTTAAGCCCTTATAAAACTGAATGAGGCAAAGACCCAGTTGTACAGTTAACTGTCATAAAACTCAATGGGGTGGCGAACTGCGCTGGGTAATGACAGATCCATTCCTGGCATGTGCTGAGCTGGACGGGAGGAGAGCACTCGAATGAAACAGGAGCCACTGGCAGAGCAGACCTTCGCGTCTGCTCCGATCAACCGAGAACAGAGCCTTTAAATAAAAGCCCCAGGGCTGAGGCCAGCCTCGGAGGGGCAGGACTGACCGCCAGCCGCTCTGGATGCGGCTCAAGTGAGGTCCCCAGGGAGCAGGGCTGAGGATCCAGGTCTGCAGTCTGCAACTAGCTAACGTTTGGGGTTTTTTGGAGAGAAGCTGGGCAGTGAGCTGAACGTAATCTCAAGGGTGAAAGCACGAGACTAGTAAATAAGAGAAAGTGGCCCTTAAAAGTCTAGTAACTTTTTAAGCCGGTGTCCTGACCTTGGTGCGGGGGATGCTTTGCCACTGGAGCTGAGTTTGGCAGCACAGCTCAAAGCCGGCTGCTGGGAAGCCCACATCCCGCAAGACTGTCCTCCTCTCTTGTTCATCCTGGTGTTCCCCTCTGCTCCGGAGCTGGCCCTAAAGACAAAACTCCCTGGGGTTTCACCAAGCACTCACACAGCTCGGCCAGAAGCAGCCGCTGTTTCATGCTGACGGCCACGGGGAAATCCCATGGAGGTGCTGGGCTGGAAGTACCTCTGCACGGCATGGGGTGGATGTTGCATGTCCTTGTCTCGTTAAAGCCAGCAAAAATCACTGCTTCAGGGAAGGACGAGTTTTAACGAGTGCCTTATCCTACCTGGTAGCAAATCCAGTCTCTAGTACTAACGAGTGCTATTAATACGCTCACTGGGTAGTGCATATCTGGAGTCTCTGCTCTGCTCATGTGCGAAAGCAAGTGGAAAGAAACTGCAGAAAGTGACTCTGAAAGTCTCGCCCAGAGGGATCGTGTTAAACGACAGCGGAACGAACGAGCTGATCGAGAACATCTCCATATACAGGTGGGTTTGGGGATGCACTTTGGTGGGTGTGTGCCCCAAGGCTCCTCGTCTGCTCTGGTCTCCACCCAGGCTGAGCTGATCACCTTGCTGGCCATCACCTCTTGATGGAAAGCAAAGGTGGGGGAAGGAGGGTGGTTGCTAAATGTAAGGTAAATTTATGTCTGGTGCAGTAAGAGTCCAGCCAGGGGTAAGGAAAGATGTGACGAGCCTGGAGGTGTCTTATGTGTGGACTGCAGATCCACAGCCAAGCGCTCTGTGGTGATGGGTGGCTTTACCGCCTGGTTTTGGCAATAGAAATGTCAAAGCATCCGGGGTGACGGCAAGAGTCGGAGGATGGTCAGAGCATCTCTGAGCGGGCGAGGATGTGAGTGCCAGAGCCGGGGCTGCCCTCCCCTCGCTGGCTGCTCTGCACTTCTGAACACGGAGCCGGGCTGAGACGGCCATTGAGACCCAATACCAGTGTGGGGAGGGCAAGGATGGATTATCCCGTATCTATTCCTTGGGCTTTTGCAAATACTTCTTTCAGAGAGGCTGGAGGCAGGCGCAGGCCTGGCAGAGCAGAGCTTAGCTCAGATGTGTCCCTTTCCATCTCCACCATCCCTTCTCCCTCTACATCCCCCACACTCTGCTTCTGTCCTTCGCCTGCTGCTCTGTCCCCCTTTGCTAAATGTGGGGTGGGGAGCACTGGGTTGGGGCACTCTCTAACCAGACCACTAACCTGCTTGCTTTTCTCCAGTTTAAACTAAGCAGTCGTGTAGAGCCACTGGTGCTGAGCCCCCCGCCCTCCCCAGGAGATGAACCCACTGCTGAAGAGCAGAGCTGGGTGAAGCGGCTGCGCCAAAATCAGGATCACTGCGCTGGTGTAAAAGCAGGCAGAGCTGTGGGGCCTTAAGTTCTCCTAGACGCTTTAACAGCCATCAATAAAGCTGTTCCTCCCGGTCGGTGCTCACGTACGAGCATCCCCTCGATTCATTTGACTGAAGTCAGCACATCCTAACCAGGCTGTTGATGTGGGGACTGATGCTGCTCCCCGGAGACGCTGGTGCTGTGGGATCAGGGGTCACAGTGAAAGCCGGGGTCTGTGTGCGTGCGGGGGTCATCTGCGCTGGTGGCAGTCCCAAGGCTTTCCTCTAACACCTCTACTGTCTTCTCTTCTGCTTTTCTATTCACTGGGGTGATGCTGGCTCTGAGCTCTTGCCCTGGATCACGTGCTGGGGTAGGACGGGGTGGCCATGGCTAAAATGCAGCCACTGTCACCAGACGTGCCACTGTCAGAGGCCTCGGTCATAAAACTGGCTTGCTTCAGAGGCGGTGTGAGTTATCCTTTCCCTGGAAATTTAATGGCCATCGAATATTGAACTGGGGGTTGCGGGAAGTGCCTGTGCAGACGACTTTCTGCGGCTTCGTCACAATTATTAAAAGACTGGGCATGCTGCTTTGGGACCAAACAGGAGGAAGGAGTGAATTTCCGAGGGCCTGTTTAATCCAGAGCTCTGGAAGACAAAATATCGGCCATTGAGCAGAGGCATCCTCACATGCAGCAAGAAACTAACGCAGTGTAAATAAATTTTGAATGTGGCTTTTTAAGTCCCAGCATCTGCTGGTAACTGGGACCTTCCAGTCCCCTCCCTGCAAACTCCCAGGGGCAGCGAGAGCAGAAGCTGAATGGTCATCGTGGGGCTGTGGGAAAACTTTTCCTGAGGTGTAACCCACTTTTTCCTCGGGTTTTCTCTTTCCTTAACACCTTTTTGATCTGCCGTGTGCCCAGGGAAGAGGTTTTGCTCGCTGCTAGCACCTGCACTAAATCTCCGGGACTGCTCCAGCCTGTGCTCGCTGGCTTCAGACGAGACGCTCAGTCCTGCAGCTCCTGGTGCAGATGGACCCGCGGGAGGGTGGCTGATGCTGAGGGACCTGCTGCCCTGCAGAAGGGAGCCGAGCCCTCGGTCACAGCCTGATCTCCCCAAACAGGTCACCCTGTTGCTCTTCCAGAGTCTTGTTCGGCATTTCAGAGTCAGCCCTGCCCTGCCTGGGGGCTGGGAGAGACACAGCCGTCCTGGCGATGCTCCACTGGGGTGGCTGAGCCTCCTCCCCCATGCCCTGTGTGCGCAGGGGTCTGGGAGCATCCCTGTGCATCTGCTACTGCGGGTCTTGGAGCCTGAATTTCAGCCTTTCCAACAGCTTTTCTTGGGCACCCCTGCATCAATTCCGTTCCCTGGTTTGAGCCTCAAGATTAAATCGTAGGCAAAGTCAACAAGTCCTTCTTTCTCCTTGCGAGTTTGTCCTCCAAAGAAAATCTTCTGGAGTCTCTCTTCTGAAGGCAGAGCATTTGTCAGGCGTAGTCCCAGGCTGGCACGCTCCAGAGTTTTTACCTCCTCTAACCTGTCCTTTCCCGCAAGGTGAAGCGTTTTCTCTTCTCTCCTGCCTCTGCGTGTGATGCACATGGTTCACGCCACAGCTGCAGGAGCTGTTCTGGGCTTCTCTTACGCTGAAGCCAGTGGCATCAACTCCTCTGCTTTTGGAAGGAGTTGCATTCAAGCCTGGTAATGCTCCCACGCTCCCTTTGCCTTCCCTGCTTGGCCCCGGAGCTGGAAGCCCTGGGGTAGGAGCTTGCTGGCAGGTCAGAGGAGGGGTTGGTTGATCTCCCTTGCACACAGTGCCCCGGACAAGACATTTCATTCTGTCTTTCAGGATATCCTACTGCACGGCAGACAAGATCCACGATAAAGTGTTTGCCTACATTGCCCAGAACCAGCTCAATGAGAACCTGGAGTGCCATGCCTTCCTCTGTACCAAACGGAAAATGGTCAGTCCAGAGGAAAGAAACGGGGATGTGGCTGTAGGAGGAGGAGGAAGCAGAGAGGGGCTGTGCCGGTGAGATAACAGCTCTGCCCCTAGATAGAGCGAGGGGGCCCTGCCCCAGGGAATGGCCATGGGAGAGCACCCACCCTCCTGCTGCTGTCACCGATGCCCACAGCCGTTAATCCTGGCAGGGCTGCCCAGTGCCCGGCCATCGCTCTCCAGAGGGCCTAACTCCGGGCTGGATTCAGCCCATCATCTTGGCAGGTAAAAGCCTTTCTGCCCCAAATTCTGGGGTGGGAGTGAGAGGACCTGGCCCTGCACCAGCACCTGAAACCCCCCTGCCATGCTGCAGTCCCAGCTGCTGGGGCTCTTCCCTGCTCGGCATCCACTTCCCCGGGCTGCCGGAGCCGGGCTGAGCCCGGCGTGCAGAGAGGCTTTGGCAGCCAGGAGGTCTCTGGGGAGGCTGGTACCCTGGTGCCCAGGGACAGCCTCATTGATGAGAGGCATTTAGCCAGCGGTTCTGGGCTCGCCGCCCTGGCTTCCTTCCATTTCTTGCCATTGAAGCTCCTTGTCCAATTTTTAGCGGCTTCTTTGCAGATGGGGCCATGTCCTTCCCATGGGAGCAGCGCAGGAGACCCTGCTGCATGCTGAGGATGGGGCTCGGAGCAGACACCCGTGTATAGAAAATGGTCTCTGGCTCTCGCTTTAAACCCCTTTGTGCGATTTTTTCCCTGCTGATTCAGTGCATCAGGATGGGCAGGGACCCAGCACAAGGAGCTGGTGAGGGAGAGAAGCAGCTCGCTGGGCACCGGCTGCAAGTGGGGCAAGGAGAGTCCTGGGGTCTCTGCAGTGGAGCCAGAGCTGGGGCTGAGCCCCCTCCCCACTGCAGGAAGGGGCTTTAGGGGAGAGGAAGGGCAGGTCAGATCCCTCTGCCCCCGGAACCCCTTCCCCTGGTGCCTGGTCTGGGGCCCAAGCGGAGAAAAGCATCTCCCAAATCTGCAGGGAAACAAACTTCCCAAGAGCTGTTCCCACCCGGTGCATCCCGGTGTGGTGATTCCTGGGTCCCTGCGAGCATCCCGGAGCGCACCCACCACAGCTCTGTTAATATTCTGTGCTTCTTCCAACTTTTTTTTTTTTTTTAATTATTTTTTTTTTTCCTGGGGAGAGAATAATGGAAGCTACAAGTTGTCTCTCCTTTCTGTGGCGTGCGCTCCCATCCTTGCACGGCGAAGATAAGCCTCGCTCTGCAAATTAAAATTTAAATCTCTCCAGTGCTAAAAGAATTATCTCAGTGGTACATCAGCTCCAAATAAAGTTCTCCAAGGCCTTTTGTGGCAAAACCTAGGAATATTTTTTTTCTTCCTTGTCCTCAAAACACATGAACGTCACACTTGATAGGGTGATGCCCTGCTCCCAGACCAGGGACCGTCCCTGCCCCAGGGCAGGGTCCCTGAATGTACGCACAGCTACCAGTCACGGGCATATAATTAGTCCGTATTTTTAGTTCATGGGTAATTCTCAACAGTAGCTGGGTCTATTAAACTTGATTCAGATGTGACAGCTTAAATTGTAAACAGCTGTGAGGAGTTTCATACTTAATTACCATATTTAAGTTTTTGCCATAAAACGTTTGCACTTCCATCAAAGATGTAAATAGCTCCGACATTCAAATGAGCTCTCCTGCTTTGCGAGGCTTAATTGGCACGGATAGGTTTGCCGGGTCTCCTCCTCCTGCCCGGGAGCGCCTGGCTTTTGGGGGATGCCCGTGCTCCGTTTGCAGTCCCCCCACATCTCCGTCCTCCACGCTACCAGGGGCTGTGGGTTACGGACCTGGGTCTGGGTTTGTTTAGTTTGCAACTTCATAAAACAAGCTCATGCCTCAAGGCTCCTGCAGCGTGCCAGCCTCGCAGAGTGTTACTCGTTATCTCCTTGCACTTAAACTGCTCATGAGCTCTGCCTTCTCCTAATGAAACTGGCATTTATGTCACTATTTATACATCTCCGGCAACTTGGGCTATTTAAGGTGGTGGGGTTTTTTGATGCTGCTCAAGCTCGGCTTGGGGAGGAATGGAGGGACTGAAGGGGAAGGTGTCCCTGCTCCTGCTGCAGCCCTGGCTGTTGCAAAACGAACCCACGCTGTTGGTCTAAGCCACCGAGACCCCAGCTTAGCTCAGCTCGGGGGAGCCAGGGGAGGACCCCGGGCTCTCTCTTGTCCTGCCTCTAAGATTGCTTCCTGTTGGAGTGAGCTGCAAATTCGTGGCGTTTTACCCTGTTGCTCTCAGAGCATCCTTGTGTCCACGGCCATGTGTGATGCCGGGGTGCGATGGGCTGCAGCTCTGCACATCCCTCCCCAGCGCTGGCGTGGCCAACAGCGGCATGGTCCAGGGCTCAGCCTGGGTGCTGATTCCCTTTGAGATGTTGGTTGTTCTGGTGGGTGATGCCCTGTGGCAGGCACAGCCCAGCCCAGCCCTGGAACTGCAAGGATGAGCCCAGGGCCATGCAGCCCTTGCACTTGTTTAGGTCACGCTTAGGTGTGGGGTGCAGGAAGAGCTGCGTGTGCCTCGTGGTCAGGAGCAGCTCTTCTCCCTCCGTCCATCAGCGTGATGGCTGTGACAGCCATGTCCCTGCCTCCTCCGTCTTCCCATTACACCGAAAGACGTGTCTACATCGAGCTGCATGTCCTACATGGAGCAAGTCTCTGCTTCCATCAATATTTGATTATCCCTCCCCAGCCAGGCGGGGAGCACGCAGAGCAGAGGACTGGCTGGATCCAGGTTAACATGAATCTGCAAAGCAAAACCTCCAAATGATTTAAATCTACATGAGGACCTGTCGATTAATGTGCTGCCTCACTGCTGTCTTTCCAGGCGCAAGCGGTCACCCTCACCGTAGCCCAGGCCTTCAAAATCGCATTTGAGTTCTGGCAAGCGGCTAAGGAAGGTGAGGGTTTTTTTCTCCTCTTCCCACTCTTCACGTGAAAGTTCAAGGGATGACTTTGGGCTTTTTTCTGGCTTTCAAGTGCCTTTTCCCCTTGCCCTCCAAATTTCCAGGCTGCTGTTAAGGTTGGTCCAACCTCTGGTGTGATTTAAGGCATCTTCCAGGTTTCTCTTGACAGCCTTGTAAATCCAGACAAATTTTGGCTGCGCTCCTTTCTTGCAGGCGGAGTGTGAAGGATCTGGGCTTGTCTGTGGTACCTCGGAGCCCTGCTGCTGTCAGGATTTTTGCTTTCACCTTCCACAAGATTATAAAACACACCCAGAGCCTGGGCTGCTGTGGGCAGAGGAGACCTGGTGGCCCATCCTAGCTGTCCCCCTGTCCCTGCTCCCTAAAGGCTTGTGGGGAAGTGCTCTGTGGGCAGTGACGGGGTCTCCTTCTTTTGCAGAGAGAGAGAAGCGGGAAAGATCCATCTTGGAAGGCGAAGGGACAAGCAGCCCCAGCTCAGAAGCCCCTGCCCACCCCGATGCATGTAAGTCACCAAAGCAGAGCTTTGCTTCAGGCTCGGGGACGAGGAACAGCCTGAGGTCTGCAGGGTTTTCCCTGAACAGGGCAGGCTCCTGGGAGGGCTTGGAAGACCAGCGAAGAGCAAACACCTTTGTTGTAGTGGAGATGTTGCCCTCGGCAGAGCACTTGGGACGTGGTGGCTGCCTGTCGAGTCCTTCCATCTCCCCCTTAAATATCTCATGCAGCTCCTTGTACACAGCTGCTGCCACCCCAAATCTGTTTACTTCTGCCCCAGGCAAATTGGCCGTAACATCCTTATGAGCTTAGCATGGACCCCCACATCCCAGATTTTATTTCGGGTTTGTCTCAGACCTGAAACACGTGCCATCCCATCGGCTGAAGGAGGTGAACATCCAGGTGCCACTCTGCCTCCAGCTCCCCTAAGGAAGGAGAGGTGTGTGAAAATAAAACAATTAAATAGTAAACCCCCTCATAATTCAGTGGGTTCTCTGCTGCCTCTGAAATGCAAGACGCGTAGCCAGGGAGAAGCGGGACGAAAGGCTAATCTCTCTTCCATGCTGGCCACGGAGATAAGAGGATTTGGCACTGAGGAAAATAGCATTAAACTGGGCTTCCTTCCAGGCTGGCACGTCTTGTTTCTTCATGTGAAGGCCCAGGACTGGAGGAATCTGTCACAAATGGTGGCACATCGGGATAAATGAGGCTCAGGGCTGCCACGGATGTAGGAATGGGCTCTGGCCCCTGCCTGGGGGATGCTCCACAGCTGGGGCACTTCTGCATCGCCCTTACTGCAGGGTGATGGGGAGGATCTGAGGCTTCCCTGAAACAACCCAGCGCACAAACTGCTCTTCACCCAGTGCAGGATTTGCCCTCGGTCCTATAAAATAATGATGCATCTTTGTGAGGTGTTGAATCGATGCCACGGGCTGAGCTGAGGATATCGCCCAGCTGTTCCCACCCTGGGGCTATGAAGGCCTGGGGCTGGGATGTCTCAGCTTTGCCCGGGCCTGATCCTGACTCACCCTGAACATAAGCAGATGCCCAGGAGCTTCCACCGATGGCTGCTGAAGGGATGAGCTGGCCAATCCTCCCCTGCATCCCTGTCGAGGGGGTCTTTGATGCCTGATCTGAGCATCACAAATTATTCAGGCTGAAACCACAGCCCCCAATGGGGTGAATGCAGCTCCTGCATGCTAAAATTTGGGGCCATCCTGGAGAAATTGGATGCAATCCTTTGACTCCCCTCTTGAGGGGAAGCAATTGCTGCAAAAAGGCTTGGTTTCGTGTCATCTCTGTTTTCCCCTCCCCTGTCTCATTCCCTCTCTGCTCCATTCACAGCAGCAGCCACGGGGAACTTACTGGATTTAGAAGATCCTGACAAATCGCCCCTGACCAGCAGCGCAAACTCCCCACACTTGGATAACAGCATGTTTGGGCCCAGCTCCTCTGTAAATAACAACGTGGTGTGGGTAAGTGTGTGCCTGGGGCACCGCAGCGTCTGCTGAGCCGGGGGCAGGGAGCGATGCCGCCTCCGTTTCATGTGCTCCAGGTCTCATCCTGGGGCTTTTTATTGGATAAAACCTCCCGGGAGCTCTGGGGTGGCTGAGCCGTTCAGGCAGGGTTTCAGAGATGCCCGAGCAAGCTGGGTTTCAGTGTCCTACTCGAAATGATCGATCAGTGTTCGAGTACCTACTGCCCTTTTTAGGCTCTGTAAATAAATGAATGAGATTGCAGGGTGCTCTGAGAAACGCCGCTGTCAGATAATTGAATATTACTTATTCTCGAGCAGCGTTTCTCAGTGGTTTGTCACTTAATTGAGAGACCACCTAACTGCTCTGTTCAGGGGAAGAAATCATTACGTTGATGGCTTTTGTTTACTGTTCACTAAATCCGGGTTATATTTATGTTCGTTATTACTCTTATTTTTCCCTTGTTCTTGTTTGTGGATGTATCTGGTTCATGTGGGCACGGATGGCTTCTCTAAAATGTCCTCAGTCATCTGGCTTAATTGTTTCATGGATCACTAATAGAAAAATAACGACTCAGACTGTGCGTCTGGTTGTGCACCCAGAGGGAAGCCGCCTCCATGCCCAAGTGCTGCATCACCAACTGGGCTGGGGCTGATCTTTGAAGCCCCACTTGACCTGGGACCTCGTCCCTGCCACGTGCCCTCGCTGGAAACACGCAGTCTGCTGAATTTTGGGGAATTGGATGATAAAGGCCTTTGCCTGGAGCCTGTTTCTTGAGTCTGCCGGGTCTGAGCCAGAGGCTTTTCAGGTTAAACCTGAAGATCAACTCTAAGTCATATAAAATCCTGGAAGCTTATCAGCAGTCTCCAATCCCTCCCTTCTTGCAGAGTTTTCATATTTTACATATTACATTAAGCCTGTAAGTACATCACAAGATTTTGGGAATACTCAAGTCTGTCCATTGCAAAGCCCTCGCACAGAGCCCATCTTCCTGCATGGGAAACCCTTCTCCCCCAGGCAACTCAAATGCTTTCCCTGGGAAGCCTTACGAGCAGACCAGACATAAAGGATCCCAGAGCTGCTTCCAAGCAGCGCAGGTTCCCCCTGTGCTGGCACAGAGTTAGTTTCTGGGTTCCTGATCCAGAAAAACCCTGAGGGTTGCCTGGAGCATCTTGCCAAGCTCTGTCTGGGCCCCCGCTCTTAGCAGGAACCCGCAACGTGTGGCAGTCTCCTGGCAGGAGCTGGAAGAGCCGAGGGCTGTGGTTAACCCCAGAGGGGGATGTGGTCCAGCTGATGGGCCAGATCCAGCCCATGCAGGCAGTGAGGCAGAATCAGCCTGGTTTGGAAATGGTGGGAAAGGGCCAAGCCCCTGCCCCATCCCGGGGCGGCAAGGGGAGCGTGGCATCCCCGACCTGAGCCCTAGGATCTGCTCTAAGGAAGCCTGGACCACCCAGAGTTGCACCTTTTACCCTGGGGCTTGTGCAGAGGGCGTGATAAAACCTGCCCAGGAGGCAGAGTGCAGAGAGTTGCTTCAGGCACTCGGAAGTCAACACATACCTACTTTTTGTCTGCCGTGCTCAAGTGCAGAGCCGAATCTCTAAATACACTTTTGTGCGTTCTCTTAGCAACTACTTCTCTCTCTTTTTATCTCCTTAACAAAGGAAATGGATGATGGTCTCGACGAGGCATTTTCAAGGTAATTCTAATAACTCCCTTTACAAGTTCACGCCACTGGGGACCAGCCCTGGAGACTTGACTAGTGACTGGCTTTTAATAATGCTTCTAATCTAATCAGCCACCGTGATCTGACCTAGGCAGCTGCCCCATCAGTGCCTCAGCTGTTAATTGAAAGATAGGCTTTGAGGCTGGCTGATAAGCCAAATATTTTGACAACCTTTTAAGGATGGAGAGAGGCTGTATGTGATAGGGAATTTAATTCCCCAAGCAGTTGGCATGTCCGCTTCTGCTTGCCGGGGTAGTTTGAGGCTGCCCATTTCCAGCCCCCATGCTTGCTGTGGCAACGCTGGTCTCAGCTGCTGGCACAGGGAACTTTACCCTTCCTCGCCCCTCTGTGAGGTTTGGACTAAGCCTGGGACCTCTCCCGTCTATCCCCAAACCAGCAACAACTGCTGAGGGCAGCCTCCCTGCTCCACCGGTCCCTCTTGCAGCGTGGTTGCGTCAGGGTGACTCTGATTGCACCAATTTTGAATTCACGCACCTGAGCACATTACGAGTTTGTGGCCACAGCTTCGTGTGGCTTAGTTCACTTTCCAATCCAAATTAAGAGCTTCCCTGCACGCGCACGCCGAGCAATCCAGCAATGTTAAACAAACCCATTTTCTTTCAGGTGAGTTTTTCTGTCTGTCCTCGTGCAGGCCGGCCCCTGCAGGGTGGTGGGGATGCTGTAGTGTTCACGGGTCCCATCCTCCAGATCAGTGCATGAAGCCACCCAGTCAACATTCAGGCAGCGTGAGCTGCAGAGGCCTCAGTTTGGGCAAAGAGCTGCCTTGGGTGCTGACGCTACGGGCAGCAGAGAGCTGCCAGGACTATTCCTCAGGCTGGGAGGTGCTGCAGGAGGGAGTCCAGCAGTAGCCAGGCTGAGCCCAACACCGTCACCTCCCCAAGAGCCGCTCGCCTCTGCCGGGGTTTGCAGCAGCACAAAAACTGCACGCTCAGCCCTAAGGAAACAGACCTTTGTGCCTTGTTTGGCTCTTGGGAATGATTTACAGCTTTCACTTCCACGATAGCCCTGTCCCAAGCCAAGGGGCTGCTTGAATTTATGCCTTGATGTCACTTATTTTCCTCGCCTCTGTTCCTTGCCCTACTTAATTAAGCAGATGTGTTGGTTGCGGTCTTTTGTTTTGCGTTGCTGGATGCCGAGCTGTCACATCACCCTTGGCCTTCTGGTGACTCAATATTTGGACTGCTCATCCACCAAGGCAGATGCTTCTGAAAGCGTTCCTGCCACAGCATCATCACCGGTCATTTTTCTTTTTTATTAAAAAATGCGTGTGCGGCTGGTTTAATCTGAGGCTTATTCGACACCATGCCTCCCCTGGATGAAATACCAAATATTTGAGTTAACCTTTTGGCCCTGGGAAAATGGATGCTGCAGTGTTACATTTTCACAGAGGTATTTAATAATACAACAACAAACTGGGGCTTGTTTTGCGAAACAGCTAGGATGGGCTGAGGTGAAGACGCTTTAAAGCTGGTCCTGTGGGCTATTAAGCGTCATCTGCTGTGTCTTAACCCAAAGAGTTAAACAGTTGGGCCAGGGAGTGCGGCGGGCGGCGAGCTACAGCACACGCTGCGTGTCCAGACACACCACCATGAAAATTGAGTCATTGCACTGAGGCTGCTCCTTTGGTCAGTGGAGCCTTTATGCTGAGATAAGATCCCAGCTAACAACGCACCCGCCAGCAATAGCTCAGGGGAGGAAAACGGCACCGTTCTGCCGGACCATTAATATATGGCATGTCCAGACTGCAAATTCCCTGGATGCCTGTAGGGGAAAAGTTAGGATAAACCAGCAGCAAAGCTGCAACAAACTCGAGAGCGCTGCAAATGCTATGTGCCAGCTCACCCCTTACTGAATTATTTCATTCTGTTGAAGGATTTTGAAATGTGGAACTGCAGCTAGGGTTCGGCATTACGGATGCATCAAGCATCCAGGCTATAAACTGCACAGACTTGTGTTCTGACTTTCTGTTTTTCTCCCCTCTTAGGCTGGCTCAGTCGAGAACAAACCCTCACGTCCTCGACACGGGACTAACAGCTCAAGACATCCAGAGTGCAGAAACGCTCTCACCTGTAGACTGGAACAAAATAGATTCCAACACAGGCGAGAAGGATGATCTGTTCATGTTTTGAGGTCGGATGCATCTAACAGCTGACAAGAGAATAACCACTAAAAGTCTATGGACTGAATCACGCTGTTCGGGTGCTGTACGCAAGGGACTCTTCTGAGGGCTCTTCACCAAGTCAGCTGATGTTACAGCCCAGTTTAGACCAAAGCTTTAGAAATCTAATGCAGATTTTTATACCTTGCTTTTATCTAAACCACAAGATGCTCTGCAACATATTTATTCATAGCCGTTACAGTTTACATATATTATTGGAAGGTGTGTAGAGCATCTACAGTATTAGGTGGCAATATACCATGGAAGAACCTTCAGCCGTGCCTGTTCCTCTCTGACAAAGACTATGCAACATCAAAATCTGTAGATACTTTTCCAGACAAGGGTCTGCAGATGCAAATGCAATTGCAAGCACAACTGTTACTAATCCACTGTTTCTTGAACAACGCATCACCTGCCTAGGCGGAGGGGAGGAGATTTGCAGCAGCTGCTGACAGTGTTAAAATCAAAGAGGTAGCAGAGATCTTGCTTTTGTTGTGAATGTCTGTGATACTCTCACAGTTGTCAATCACCCCTATGTGTTCTGGCTGGTTTTTCGCCAGCTTCGTATGGGAATTGACACTTTTTTTTATCCAAAGACTCTATGAAGTTTTGCACTTTAAAACTTGAACAGAAAGCAAAGGTCCGAATTGTCAAGGTAAGCAGTGCCTGTAACTTCTCTTCAGAAGCTATTTACCCAAAAAAAACCCCCAACCCAGTAATGCTGCAGGTCTGTTTCAAAACCGAATGCTCACGTGCACTGTTCCTGATGCAACTCAAATCCAAGGCTCCGTTGCACTGGTGGCTTTAAAAGCAAAACCACCAGGGAGTAACAATTTGTTTTGCTAAAGCATGTTGGAATTTGCAGGTTGGGGGTGCCCAGCAGCAGGATAGATCTGTGTCCTTAGCTCTGCTAAGTGGATTGGGCTGCACACGCCTTTTTGCCGTCTCAAAGCCATTTGGTTGTTGCTCACTCAATAGACTCAAATGGAATTGGATTAGGCAAGACCAATACCTGGCTGTTCAGTTAGGAAGTGGTGCCCCTTCCAGCGGTACTCCAATCCTCTTCCCCCCCAACAGCCACATCTCCCGTGGGGCTTGGGAAGCTGTCTTCATCTGCTCCTGCAACTGAAAATAAGTAATGGAGGTATAAAGCTTATGCTAATTAAAAGATTAAGTTTAATGATCCTAAATAGTCGCACTGACAGTTTGCAGTGTTTGTGGCCTTATGTGAAGTATACTAATCTGTTTTATAGATTTGTAACTTGGTTTCGAAACACTAATTCATTCCCCAGATAGCTCTTTATAACTCTCTTAAAACTGCTTGCAGAAAAAAAAAAAAAAGAAAAACCTCTTTGTCAGCTGTAAGAATTTATTAGGAAACAGCTGAGTGACTCTAACTTAGATTTGATTTTTTTTTCCCCTAAGTGGTGTTGTGATAAGGTATTGAGGACTTGTGAAGCTGACTCATCATGTCTCTTAATAAAATGTGTGCTCTGTTTATCTTGCAAAATTGTGTTTAAAGCAATTTTACATCTTGAAACTACCGTGCCTATGACTTATTTGGTCTTATGCATGGCATCAGTCTCACGATTGAAGGAATTATTCAAAGTTTGTCCGTGCTACAGAGGCGCACGGCAGAGACGTGAACCTATTGCGTAAGCAACACCAAAAGTGTGCAGAAATGGTTGTAGCAACCACCTCGTCCCGACCCCTGGGAGCGGTGATCTTCCTAGGAAAGAGCTTGGGCTGCAGGAATGGACCATGAGGATTTCTCTGTCCATTGATCTTTCTCCTTTTTTAGAGACTCTAGGAGCATATACTGAAATGCACAGTACTATATATGTATGTATATAGTTTTTTAAGAAATCCTTCTGCTGTAAAGAGTATCTGTACTGAGGAAAATAAAAGTTCTACCATTTTTTGGAGTGTCTGTGCTGGGTGACTATTTTTACCATGGTCCTTTTATTGTGTAGAAGCCTTTGTATTTCTAACTGCGAGTTCTCTGTCTTCCTTGATGCGTAGCAGTAAGCGATTGGAAACATCCACGGGAGGTTTGTGTCTATTGGAAGCCTCTTTCCAGGGCCATCCAGGTGGGAAAACGGCTGCAGTGAGGCACCAGTCCGTGGTGCTGCCTCCAAGCAGCGCTTACGGGGCTGGATGAGGCCACGTGGGATGCACAGAGGGATCTGCCATGGCCCCATCCCTGCTGCACCAGGCAGGAGGTGACCGTCGCTGCCTGCTTGGTAAATCCAGCCCTGCCTGAGCCCCTGCGTCGTTGGATCAGCCTCCAGGTAAGGGTGTGACAGAGGATGAGAGGGAAGTTGGTGCTTCGGTCTCATTTGCAGGCAAAGGCGTTGCTGGTAACATCAAAAAAACCAAAATCTTTTAATTGATAGTTTCTGAGTTGCTGTGCAAAGTACTTCTCCCTTGGGGGGAGTTTAATTTGTACAGCTGCCTTTTAAATAAAAACAGCCCAGAGAGCCTGGCATTGCCCTGTGTACTCAGCCTCCCCTTGCAATTCCTGCCTTCGCTGGCTGCGAGCTTGGAGCAACTGGGCTGTGGTAACCATGGGGAGAAATTCCTATGGGGACGCTGATGAAGGGATTTAACCTGTGAGTAGCATAACGCTCCCTTTGGGATATCAGAGCTGGGCAGGGGGTAGAGCAAAGGGACTTTGCAGAGGGGCATCTCTTCCTGCAGTGTTAGACTGTCAACAAAACAAATTCAATAAAAGTTCACTTTTTTCTGTTTAAATTGCCTGTTCCAGTATGAGGAGATGCCCCAGATTATGAGTACCTGTGTCCCGGCAGTCTGCGCCTTCATGCATGCTGAGGAACAAATTGATCTTTCAGTTTTGATGTGACCTTTTTTTAAGTGCTGGTTAAGAAACTTTCAGCATCCATTTCCTTCGCCCCTGATGGCTGCGTGCTCGGGATGGAGGGAGGGAGGGAGGAAGGGGCTCAGTGTGGTGAGAGGTGGCTCTGCCCCGAAAAGGGAGGTGCCGTGAGGCGC